CTCTCCCAGGCCTCTGCCAGCAAGCAGGACCTCAGGCCAATGGATCTCACCTGGCTGTGACATGGGCCAGGAGGTTCCCCACCCAGGATCGCAGCCTGAGCTGGGTGCACAGCCCTCTTTTGGGAGGAGGGTTGCCGCTTAGGCACGTTGATCTGCCCCTGAAGGCACACACTCCTCAGTAGGCTCTTTCACAGATCTCCCTTCTGTGCCCCGGGGCAATGCGATCATGACCTGGGTGTATGGGGTCTGGTCTGCAGGCCTGTTTCCTGGGCCCTGGAGATCAATCTCTGACCCTTCCAGGGGAAGGGGTGCTGGTCTCAAATCACCTACAGGGTGCCCAAGCTGGATTGATTTCACTCCACCTCGGGATTTGTCCCGCTGTCCTGGAGTCCCCAGGCAAGCAGCACCTGGGCGGGCTGGCGGGTAGGGAGCTTGCAGTCTGAGTACCCCTCAGTCTGCTGTAGGGCCCCAAAAGGAAAGGTCTCGTTCCTTGGAGATGCCACCGTGTGATGGCTAAATTGTCTCCCTGGGCACCCACGGGTAGGGAAGGGGAAGGAGAGAATGGAGCAATATGGTGTCTGCGCGTGGGGAGGTGCCCCGAGGTAGCTGGGAGCCTGGTGCCCTGTCTGCAAGAGGCCACTGCTCACTGGCGGCAGCCGTGTCTGGGCTGGTGTCGGCAAGTCTCTCCAACCACTCAGGAGCCACCCGCAGTCCGAGATGCAAGGGAGGGGGAAGTTAACCGCTCCACCTACCCTCGTCGCTGGTCTCCAAGCCTCTCGGGGGCCTTTCTCCTTCCAGTTCTCCTCTGCAACGTCTTCCCATGGAGTCTCCTGTAGTTTCAGGCACCCTTCCTTCCGACCCTCACCCGATCTATGTTTCTTTGCTAGTTTATTTTTTTCACTTTCTTCTAAAATCTGTCTTTTTTACAGAGACACTCCGGTGGCTTTTCTTGTCCGCCATCTTGGCTCCTTCTTTTCCTATGGGGCCCCATTTTTAAATCAGTCCTTGGATCTGCTCCCTAGGGAGGCCCGTGGGAAGGAGGGGGGATGGGCAGAGCAGCGTCCCGCTATTTCTGTGTCCCTTGGCCCAACAATCCTAACATCAAAACCTTACCTCCTGGAGCCCAGCATGGCATGCCAGGCAGTCACCTGCAATGACGAGTGGTCCTGCAGGAGGAAACCTGTGGGGCATCTCAACACCAGGACATAACTGGGAAGCATATTTTTGAAACATTTAATTTGTGTAGAGTGTGTGTGATTTTTCATATATAAGCCAAGTTTGTTAAACCAATTGTTGCAACTCTGGCATGAATGTTGTTGTGTGAACACTGTCGTGTGGGCAGGAGGGGTTCCTTACGGAGGGGAACTGCTCTGGGGCAAAGCAGAACTCTCCTGGCTGACCAGTGGCTTCCCTTCTGAGCTTAGTCCAGGGCAGCAAGCCCTGACCACCTGCTACATGCAGGGCTCGGCCAGGGGGCCTCATTCCACTCTTGCCAGGTCTGGAGCCACTGTCTCAGCTGGCTCAGGCTAAGGTTCTGAGCACTTTGATGCTATAAGACTGGATGATGAGTCTGCACCCTTCTCTAACTTATTCCTAACTTCAGTGTGGCTTTTAGGCAAATCATTTGGCCTTTCTTGAACCTCATGTCCTCATCTGTAAAATGGGGCTAGAAGCAGACCTTTTTGTTACAGGATTGTGAAGCTTAAATAAGACATTGTATATTGTGTGCACTGAAATGTAAGGTGATATTTAGCACTTCAACGGGAAAAGCCATGTTCTAAGAAACATTAGAGTTCTCCTTTAAAGACAATACACAAATTCTAATTTGTGAAACTGAACAATTGGAATTTCCTAAAGGGGTCTTTCCAGATAACTTTAGCATGAGGCCCACATATCATGCATCTTTTAGGAAAATATCCATCATGTATATCTGTGCATTTGCATGAAACTTTATTGTACTAAACTCAACTTTCGTATCTGCTTGTTTAAGCCTCACAATCCTGTAATACTTAGGGTGAGCTAAATTGCTCCAATAGTTCCAGATAGGTAGTGTTTCAACAATAGTTTATTTTTTGCTCTCATAGCAGCCTAGGGTAGGTTTCAGGTTGGTGGGGCATTTCTCCTCCACAGTGACTCAGGGATCCAGGTTTTCTCCAACTTAAGGCTCTCCTATCATCTATGGCCTGCTTGTCATTTGCATCCAGTGAATGGAAGGGGAAAGAGCCAGGAGACCTCATAGGTTTTGACCACTTTTGTTCACATTCCAGTGGCGAAAACTCTCAACATACCAGATTGCAAGGAAGGCTGGGAAATGTGGTCTAGCTGTGCGTACAAAGGGAAGAATGCATTTTAAGGGACAGCTAGTAGTTTTCATGAGTTCATAGATGAGAACGATAGTCTCAATAGGATTAACTAACTTGCTAAGATTAGTTGGTCACAACCAAGTGACAAAGCCCAGAGCTCCTGACAACCATGTCTGGTGCCTTAAAAAGCACGGCCCCCCACGCTGACCTGAGCTGCCAACTCTCACTGGTCTGTTGTCCACCTCGCATAGAGGGATCCTATGACACCGACTCTGGATCACACTGCGACAGTAATAGAAATAAACTTGTCATTGCCCCATGTTCTTTCAGCTGTTGTCCGAGAGGGCAGCTGAGCTGGGGAGTGGCACAGTCTGCACCTGAGCCCAGGTCTGAATCCACACTGTGGTCCCCGGAGCAAGAAACGACAAAAGGCTAGCTTCTAAGCCATACTTTTATTTTTACAGAAGCAGCAGCCTCACAGCCACCGGGATATGTGTTCAGAGAGCAGACACAGTGCTTGTGGCTGCAAGAGCCTGAGAGGGGAGATTCATGCCTTTCTCCTTGGTCCCCATGACCAAAGAAGAAAATGAGAATCACACGCCACACCCATCCCCCTCCCCTATATGTGATTATTCATCCTTCTGGCCAAAGAAACTGGCTACAATTCTGATTTCACAGAAAACCATGCAGCCAAGAAACTCACGGCTCTGGAGGGGAGGGGCCTACTCTGGTACTTTCTTTCCACATGCACTGCCCCCGGGCACCAAATTTAACTCCACCCCAATCACTGTGTGGATGGGCAGCGACAGGACTGGCCACAAGAAGAAGTTGCTGACTCAGCTCATCATGCTGGAAGGACGGCCTCTTTCCAGGCCAGTGGAGCAACGTTAACCTGAGGCTGCTGTGGTTTCAAAATACTTTCCCTTTCAAGCCCCAGATTGTGGGTGAGGTCTGGGAAAGCCTAGATTTTGGTTATGGGACTAAGGGCGACAAGGCTGCTGGCATCTCCGGCCACAGTCCCAGGAATTTAGGGATGGAGCCTCCACTGGTGAAATGGTGGCACTTCAGCGGCTGGATTAACCTAACTTGTGATAACCATTCATCTACAGCGAGTAGAATCATCAGTTTCGCACCGAGCAGGAAGCACAGGGCCCGCCGTGAGAGCTAATGCCAGAATCTGCGTGCTTTGCAAACTAGAGAATGAGGTCCATTTTTTTTCTTCTGCCCCCTCCAGCAGCCCAGTGGGTAAGGGTGGTTCCTTTGCCTTTTGAGTGCCATGGATACGCCAGCCCTCGCAGGACTGGGCCAAGACTCCGCAGTGTGCCAAGCCCTGGGGGGCATGCATGAGCATCCTTCAGAAGAAGCATGATTCCAAGAGGACTCTGGCACCTGACACTTGCCTGCAAGCTAGAGATGAATGTTTCTGAAAATGAGATGGGAGCTGGCCTTGGGGCTGAAGGAAGGCCCTTGAATGATGGACAACCCTGACATGTCCACCTGGATCATGTATTTGTTCTCTGACTTTCAACACAATGAGGCTTTTCATGGGTTTTGCAACCACAGGACAGCCTAGGACAGTCAGAAGGGCTCCAGGGAGGTCTCGTCTGTACTGGTGTGACAGATGAGGAAACTGCAGCTCAGAGGGACAAACGACTTGCCCACCGTGGCGGCTCGCTGACAGTGGAGCGGGGGCTGAAACCCAGGTCTCCTGGCTCGCACGCTGCAGGTGAGACTGGCTCGGCTCCCTGATTCCACCTTCCCTTGCATGACACAACTCCTTCTCAGACTCTGGGTTGCAGCTGAGGTGGGCAGTTCTTAAGATGGAGTTGCATAAACAATCAAGCTTTGATAACAAGAGCGGGGAGGGCTCAGGGAGGTTCCCTTCCCTCTGGAACAGAAACGAGCTAACTTTTCTCTGAGCTTAGGATTTGTAAGGCACTGAAATTAACCACAGCTGGGGGAAGGGTGTTGGTGGGAGAAAGAACAAAAGAGGGATGAGTGGTTGGAGAAATCAAGCTGATGCTCTTTCCTTTCAGCCCTGCAGTGAGAACCTCACGGGAACACAATGGTGGTGGACTCCATTTTCCCACTTGATGTGGACCCCTCCATCCTCCCACAGAGCAGCACGGACCCACTCCCACCATGACTACGTGGCTTCTGGGGACAAGAGGAGGCCTGGAGGGTTGGCAAGCCAAGAAGAATGAGCCCAGGTCCCTAGATCTGATTCAGAGCAGAGACCACTTTCTCCACCTGGGCATCCCAGGCCAAAGGTGGGACAGGATTCAGCCCTGAAATGCCTCCTCCAGGAACTCAGTCCTCTCTGAGTGGACCCAGCGGTGGCTGGGGTGGGCCTGCAAGCCCACGTGTGAAGGAGGAAGGGCAAGATGTCACCAAGGACGGCAGAGAGAACTCTGGAATCGGGCCTGGCTTTGGCACGGCATGTCTTGGGCCTGCCCGCCCCAGGGCATCCCCGTCAACATTCCAGCCAAGCCTGGGCACAGGTGACTTAATATGGAGCCTTTTCAGACTCAACTGCTGACTCCAAAGCACTTCTGTCAGGTGTGATGCTGAATGGGAAGCCAGAGTAACAGCTAGCACTTACCCAGCACTGTCGGGGTGACAGGTGCTTGACTTGGATGGTGACAACCCACGGGCCAGTATTACTGTCCCCTTTCACAGATGAAGAGACCTGGGCTGAGAGGGTTCAAGGGACTCCCCCAGGGTCCCACAGCTTATAAGTGCTAAACTGGGAACTGGACTTTAAATCCCGTGTTCTTTCCGCCCTACTGGGCTGCCCCTGATGCCAGGAGGAAGGCGCTGGGCTGTCTGGGTGTGGTTTCTGGAGGGGTTTCTTTTGGAAAGTGTGGATCTGGGAAAGCAGCCAAGCCAGAGTGAAGGGACGATGCCTGTCCGCCCACCCATGCCTGTCTTTCCACGCGGCTCTGGCTCAGTGCCTGGCGGCCTTGCAGATCTTGTCGTACACCTCGGGGAAGGCGTCCTGGCAACCGAGCTTCTCCCGCAGCTCGTGGTACAAGGAGCCATCGAACATCTCCCAGAACTCCTCCCGGTTCATATAGCAGTCAGCATACAGCATCTGGAACCTGCAGAGGCAGAGAAGGGGGTGAGGACGCAGGGAGGTACAGGGAGGTGCAGGGACAGGAGGGGGCGTGAGAGAAATCCAACTGCCCCTACAGGCAGCGTGCTTTGCAGCTCAGGACGTGCTTTAGGAGGACTTTTCTTGTTTAATCCCCTTAGCAACCTGGTGAGGCGGGTGGTGCAGGTGGGCACCTGGGGTGGCGGCGAGGTGGCTTGGCGGCAGAGGCAGAGTCAGGAGTAGAGCTCAGACTGCTCGGCTTCTGCCCCTGTGCTCGGCTCGAGACAGAGCTGCCTCCCCTGATGGGACGGTGGGGAGGTTTTCTTTTAATCTTCTATTGGCATCAATAAACTGCACATATTTAAAATGTACAACAGGATAAGCATGACGTATGTATGCAACCAAGGAACTGTCACCATGGTCCAGGTGGCGGCTGTATCCGTCATCCCGAAACTTTTCTCATGATGCTTTGTTGTCTCTCTGCCACCCCTGGGCAACCACTGATGTGCTTTCTGTCACTACAGATTCATGTGTATTTTCTGGAATTTTCTATCAGTGGAATCATACAGTATTCTTTTTTCCTGGCTTCCTTCCTTCAGCACAATTATTCTGAGATTTGTCCACATTAGTTCATCAGGAGTTGGTTCCAGGCTGTTTTCTGAGCAATTCTGTCCAGGGCCTCTCCGTGGTTGTCAGTCCAGAATCCCTCCCTCCTTAGCTTTGGCTGTTCGATCTAGGGCAGGAGCCCTGAACACATGTAAGTGCACACCCACCGTCTGCACCGTGGGGAAGAGGGGGTGACTCCCAGGTTTCCGGCTTGAGCAGCTGGGAGGGCACTGATGTGCTCGCTGGAGGAGGGGTGCAGGGAGGAGGGGCAGGAGGTCCTGCAGGTCTACCCTGACCACCTTCCACACTCGCCTCCCGAGTCAGAGGCCGCCACAGCCACAGGGTCCCTGAGCAAGGCTGGGAATCTTGGTTCTCAGCCCAGAGCGGGCCTCATTCCCCTGAGACCCTCAGCCAGAGGGACCCCACCACACTCTGGGCCACTCACCCATGCACGCTCCGGACGAACTTCTCCAACTGCCTCATGCAGGACCTGGCTTCAAAGTGTTTCACACGTGGCTCCCCGTACGCTCCGATGTCGATGTAGAGCTCAGTCTCATTTCCCTTGGGGTGCACCAGGCCCGGCTGGCTGGGCAGGATGAATGGGCACAGCCAGATGGGGTACACCTGGGTAGACCAGGGAAGGGGGTATTAGAGCTTTTTCTCTAATAGGTGACAGGCTCACGGCTGGCCCACTCTCACCCACTCACAGGGAGGTTTGCAGCATTCTCCAGGGACCCCTCTGGCTGCTCACAGCTCCACTCCCCACCCTCCCAGCCTGGCTGAGACACCCGACTCCACCACACCGAAGGGCGCAGTTGGAGCAGGTTACGGGAATGCTCGTTACCGGGCCCTGTGACTCGCCTCCCATTGCGGCCATCGCTGAGCAGGCCGAGGCCTCAGTGGGCATAGGGACAAGGCCCCTGTTTTATAGCTGGGAAAACCGAGGCCCAGAGGGCATGTGTACCCAGGGTTGGTCATGCGGTTCGGGGAGAAGACTGTCGATCCCGCGGGAACGCGCCTGGTGCTCCCTCCCTGCCCTGCCCCTGCTCACGTGGATGTCATTGTGGAAGGTGTACAGGGCCCGTGGCAGGCACTTCATGGGCACCAGCATGTCCTGCACCACGTGGTGCTGCTCGTACAGCTTGCGCAGGGTCTCGCCCTGGGTCAGCTTCAGGAGGGAGATCTTGGGAGGTACCATCCACCCAAAGAGGTAGCGGAAGATCGGGTTGTTGCCGAAGGGGATGATGTCCTGGGAGACAAGGTTGGGGATGGAGAGAAGGAACCAACAGGGGCTGACGTCTCCGTGTGCGGGGGACTAGGTGCTTGTTCTGTGCCCCGCATGAGCACGACAGGGTATAGTTCCCCTATGTGGAGGTGGCACGATGGGACCTAGGACTTCACCAGTTGGATCTATGTTTGAGTCTCAGCTCTGGCGTTTACCGTCTGTGATGATCTTGGGCTAGTTACTTAACTTCTCTGAGCTCAGTTTCCTTATCCATAAAGGGGATTTGCGCCTGATAATGAGATATCAAATGGACGGCACTCGACCAGGGCCTGGAGCAAAACGATAAGGTATCTGTCATGCCTGTTCTAGTTGTTGAGGCCGGAGTGGCTGGCGCAGAGCAGCCATTCCATAAATGTCTGAGAAATGAATGCTGCTGAACGGAAGAGGACACTCAGAGAACTTAGGCAGCTTCCCTGAGGTCACACAGCCGGGGCGGGTGAAGTCTGCCTCAGGTTCGACGAGGAGCCCGTTGGTTTACAGCATCCCTTGCTCAGAGTGAGACCACTTGCCTGCCTCCCCCGACTCGGTCTCCCTGGAAGCCCCCCCGCCCCCCAGCAGAGGCTATTCTTCCTCTTCCAAGCCCCAAACTGCAGGAGGGAGGAGCTGCTCCCTCAGTGCTGCTTTCCTAGGGTGCCCTCGGCGCCCCCTCCAGCAGAGAAGACTTTGGCCCTGGCGCACAGCTTCCCTCCCTGCTCCGAGTCCCGCCATCTTCCTGAGGGTCACCAGCATCCATTCTCACAGCTCCCAGAGCCCCTGAAGCCAAGGGCATTCTGCATTCATCACACCAGGCAAGGTGTCTGTGAGGTCGGGTACCACGTTCTATGCTGGGCGCTGGGGAACCAAGATAATTGAGACATGGTCTCTGTCCTTAAGATGCTCTCTCAGGTGTGGGAGACACAGGCCACTGCACTACAGCACAGGGACAGCTGGGACAAAGAGAGGCAGAGGTGGCTCATGAAAGGGTCCATGTCAGCCTAGGGGCCAGGGTGGCCTCCCACAGCGCCACACACGGAAGCGTTGAAGGCTGAGTGACCCTCCTCCTCCACTCGCACGAGGGCAGGGGCCTGTCTGCTTCCTTCTGTTAGATCCCAGCAGCTACACCAATGCTGGGCACACAACAGGAGCTCAGTAAACAGCATGGCTTTATTGTTTCCTTGGTTACCTCTGGAGAAACTACATGACCACAGCAGACATCCCAGCAGTATGAAGGTTAGGCCTCCCCTCACTCCCTGGCCCTACTTCATTCCCCTCCTCCTCACCTCCTCCCACTCCCATGTCAAGGGTGCCCAGCGTGTGCTGCAGGGGTCCCCAAGTCTGCCCTGCCCTCCAGTTTTGTCTTCCTTTACATACTGTCTGTGGCTGCTTTCAGGCTGCTAGAGAGACCTGACAGTGCACAAGACCCGGACTGTTTCCTATCTGGCCTTTCCATAGAATGTTTGCTGACCCCTGCGCCATTGTATGGATGGACATTTAGATTATTTCCAGATTATTCCAATGAATATCCTTTGTGTCTTTGTCAATATGTATGTGTCAGTAAGATCAATTCCTAGACGTGGAAAACTCTGGTTCAAATGGTGCGTGCAATTCTAACGGATACTGTTTCAAGAGCTTGTACCATTTTATACTCTCCCACACGTGGGAGAAGGTTGTTTCCCTATGCCCTGGCCTGCACGGTGTGTTATCAAACTTCTAGATCTCTGTAGTTCACTCCGATAGGTGAAAGACAGTCTTGTTTTGCCTGTCTTTCATTCTGAGTGAGACTGTATCACCTCTCCTAGGTTAAAAGCCACTTGCATTTTTTCCCCCTAAAAATAGTCAACAGTTAGCCAAATGAATCAGCTGAAACCACTTCTTTCCTGGTCCTAGCCTCAGAAAATTCCAGTTTTATTAAACATGTGCTCTGCCCTTCTGCTTTCCCTCTGTCCACCCGTCACTCATCCTCCGTCCCTTGGTGACCTTGTCCCGAGTCCCTGGCTCTACTCCTGGCCCTGCCTCTGCCACACGCTGAGGCCAGCCACTCCAAGAGCGCTCCCTGCAGCCTCTTCCCCCCTCGGTCCCTGCTGTCCAGCTGCCCTTGCCCTTTGTCCATGTCCAGCCTGCCACTGGCCACCTCTGCTCTGCTAGGGCAATAGCCTTCTAAGAAATACCAATGCCAAGGGCTCCACTCACATCCCTCCTCACTGGTGGTAACGCCCTGTATTAGCTGACTACTTCCACTGCAAAGGAGGCAAAGGGAAGGGCAGGAGAGGCCACTCTGCCCCCTGTCCCTTTCTTCTTGCCTTCCCTCACCAGCGAGCAGAGGCAGAACGTGCATGCAGCAAGAAAGGGAAACAATAGTCAGGTTAGCTTTATGCACCACTCTTAAAGGAACCAGGGAATATACATGCATGAGGAGTTAAATGCTCTTATGTATGCATTTTTAAAAATGAACAGTAAAATTCATGCTAGTGATAATTTAGCTTTTTAGTTCTTCTTTAGGTAGAACATTAAATTGCAACTGACAATAGAGAGACTACCGGAGAACGGAAAAAGCGCTATAATTTAGTACCGTCGACAGCACTTTTGCCTGCTTTTTGCACTGGGCCCTGCAAAGCACGCAGCTGGCCCTGAGCCCATGAGCTGCTGACTGGCCAAGCTGGTGAGGGGATGTGACTGCAACAGCCAGGCCTGGCACGGGTGTGACAGAAGGCAGCTTGTTAAGGGGCTCAGCACCCAGGCATGGTTACACTTGGTTCGTTCAAGGGCCACGTGCGGCAGAGGGAACCCGGGCATAAGGCCATCTGCCAGGAGGAGGAGGAGTTATCGCAGGGCAGGGGAAAAGGCAAGCATTTGAAATTGTTTATTCCTCCTTTCTAGAAATGTCTTGGCTTCTGCGATTGCACTCTAGCGGATGCTGCTGCACTCTGCCCAGATGCCTCCTCCAGAGAGGCGCCTGTTCCCCAGCGGTGGGGAGCGTCGGAGGCTGGCACGCAGGGAGGACTGCCCTTGGCAGAAGGGAGCTGCCTCGTCCAAGGTCATTGCACAATGATGGCTGCTGGGGCGGGTGGCCCTGGCCTTGAGGTGACACAGCCCCAGAGGGCTTCCAGAGTTTTGTTGTGACTCGTCCTTTTCCCTGTATTGCTTCCCTACTCCCTCACTCAGGAATAAAGAGCCATATGCAAATACAGGCTTAAAACACCCATTCTTTCAGACTCTTCCTTTAACTAAAGGCAGGGTAGGCCAGGATTTATTTAACAGCACAAAAATATAAGACAAGTCTCATTTTGAATCCTGGCTCTGTGTAGTGGTTTTAAAACACGTCCCTAGAGTCTTTGCTGGTCCTCATTGCCCCTTCCCTGAGTGTGGGCTGCACTTGGAGACTCAGTTCGAACAGAGAATATGCTGGAAGTGATGGGTGTCACTTGGGACAGGGTCACAAAAGGCACTACAGACTTCTCCTTGGTCTCTCACTTGCTCTGGGGGAAGCCAGTGCTTTGCTGTGGGGACACTGAAGGAACCCACGTGGCGAGGAATGGAGGCAGGTCCTGCAGCCTGCAGATGGCCACCCCCCAGCCCAAACGGGACAGACCCTGAGCCAGGACGGCCAAAATTGGTCACTCCCAAGTCTGTGACTCTTAGATTTTGGGAGGTGACAAATGTTAGCTGTTTTAACCCTCTATGATAGAGATATACTCTCTCTCTTACTGAGTTGTTACTTAGTTTGGATAACCTAAACGGAAATGGAACTAACACTAGTACCCACCTCACAGGCTGGCTGGGACGATTAAGATAAGGCATGTGACGTGTCCCGCACAACATCCACCCCTTAGGAGTGGCTGTGTTATTGGCGGCTGTTGTCTCTCTGATGCTCATTCTCAGGGCCCCTTGCTGGTGCCTCTTTCTTTTTCTGTCTCTTACGTATCCTTGCTCTTGACAAAACCACCTCCACGCCTGCTGCTGCTCTTGGCAGGGATGGAGAGGGACTCATAGTGTCTTCTGCCTTTGCCAAAACTGCCCGTGCCACCTGCTCTGCACCTTGACATTGTCCAAAGTAGGACTATCGGAGATGGGGGAACCCCAGAGCCCCCCGGCTACAGTGAGACCTCCATGCCCTGCTCCTGCAACCCTGACCACCACCCATCACATTCTACCTGAGACCTCTCCCGACATCACAACTGGGCAGGCGCCTCCACCCGAGAGCCCATGAGCTGTGGTTCATCATGCCTCATGTCCGGTTTCTCTTAGTCACCATGGACTTCCAGGTGCCTTGTTACCTGTGCTCGTAACCTGCTGCAGCAACGCAGCACCTCGTACTCTGACCCCATCTGTCACTGCCCCGATCTCCCAGGGTTCCCTGTGCTTTTGGGGTCTGACCTCAGCAAAGCCCCTCCGTCCTCACTCTCCCCTGGACGTGCTGTGCCTCTCCCTGTTCTCAGCTGGAACCTGGTTGTCCCCTGCAGCCTGCTCCAGTGGGTCATGTTCTCCCCGACAACCCTCCTGCCAATGTGACAGACGGAGGTGAGGGAGGGTCCTCCTGGCCCTGAGTTACTGCCTCTATCTCTGTTCTACCCCCAGGGATACAAACCAACCTCAGCAACTTTGAAGCACGTACCCAAGATCTCCCCCGTCACAAAACACAACCCCAGTTCCCCTGCCTGGATCCTGGATCGCTGGAACCCCTCTTACCACCCACACCCATGGCTCCCTCACTCCAGCCTAGACATCCTTCAAGTTTAGCATTTGTGACCTCATGCCCACAGAGATGGTCCTCCCATGCTCGGCCTCCCGCTCCTGAAACTCCTGTCTTTATTTTCCTGTGACCTAATCTTTCGCGTGCCCTTGGCCACTGACTCCCACGTCATCCCTTAGAGCAGCGGCTGGCACTTCCTGCCGGTGGGAAGCCAGTTTGCGACATGAGGCCAGCCTGTTGCCCAAATTTGGCCCGCTGCCTGTTTTTGTAAATAAGGTCTTACTGGAGCTCTGGTCACACCTGTTCATTTATGTATTGTCCGTGGCTGTTTCATGTGGCAGAGGTGAGTCTGTGACTGACTGTATGACTTGTGACATCTAAAATATTTGCCCTTTGGCTCTTTAAAAAGGTTTGCCGATACCTAGCCTTTGTTCCTTCATCATTTTCTTTTTTTTTTTTTTTTTTTTAGACAGGGTCTCACTCTGTCTTCTGGGCTAGAATGCAGTGGCATCATCATAGCTCACTGCACCCCCAAACTTCGGGGCTTAATTGATTCACCTGCCTCGGCCTCCTGAGTAGCTGGGACTACAGGTGCACACCACTGTGCCCAGCTAAGTTTTCCATCTTTTTTGTAGAGATGGGGTCTCACTCTTGCTTAGGCTGGTCTCGAACTCCTGATCTCAAGCAATACTCCCGTTTTGGCCTCTCAGAATGCTGATTACAGGCATGAGGCACCGCTGGCCCCCTTTGTCCTTTTGTACACATTCATTGTCTCTATAGTTTTAATGGTGGGCGTTTGCCCTGTGCCCATCCCCACTCTCTTTAACACCATGCCCCCTCACCCTGACTTTAGTGCTTCCTCCCCTGGGGCGCACAGTCCTCCCTGTCAGCCTCTTGCCAGCTCCTGGGAGCCCTCACCTCCTGCCTCCCCTCCGTGGCTGGCTCAGGTTTCATCAGAACCATGCCCTCGGTTCCTCAGCCTGCCCACTCACCACACTGCCCAGCCGCAACTGTGGTCAGAGCCAACCCTCTACCCGCTCTGCAGCCCTCCCCCAGCTGCGTGTGTGACAACCCACCGCCACAGGGTGGTGTCGCTGTAAATTCACGATCACGAATCCTCGGCAGGCCCGGAGCTGCCTGGCAGTGCTATGGTATTTCCCCAGTTCATTCATTTCCCACTCTCCGAGGCACAATTTTACACCCTTCCCACCTCATTTCAGCTGAAATCCTTGCTGCTTTTTCCTAGTTCACTGAGAAATCAGAAGAGAACTCCCCACCTCCCATTTGCAGCAACTGTACCCATTTATACAGCTTCCCTCCTGTCCGACGGACAGACCTCCCACGCCCCCATCAAAAGGCAAGCGCTCCACCTGGGCACAGCAGCCGCCTCTCTCCCTTGCTCAAGACTCCACCCTCTAAATACTCCCTCTCCACTGGGTCCTTCTCATGACATATAAACATGCTGTCATCTCTCCTGTCTGAAAATAATCGCACAAACAAAGTATCTTCTCTTGGTCCTACACCCCCTCCAACTACCGCCCTCCCTCTCTGCTTCCCTCTAGAGAGGCTCTCAGCCTTGTTCTCACTGTCTCACTTCCGTGTCTCCTGTTCTCTCACCGACTCTGTGGTCAGGGTTTACCGGCTGATCAAAGCCAACGATGACATTCCCATGGCTAAGACCCAAGGTCGAGCTCTGTCCTCATCTCCCTCGGCAGCATTTGATGCAGTTGTTCATTTTCCTTCTTGAAACAGTCTTCCCGTGGCTTCTGGGATGCCGCATTCTCCTGGCTTGCTCCCCCACTCTGACTGGTGGCATCTTCTCCTCTCTTTAGCTGGCTCCTCTTCCCCTAACCTGCAGGCGTCCCAGGGCTGGGCTCATACCTTTTTCTTTTCTGTCTACCCTCACTCATCTACCTCCATGGCTTTAAATGACATTTCTCTGCTGCTGCTGCCCATGTTTGTATGTGCAGCCCCAGCCTCTCCTGCTCCCCTGAAGTCCTGACACGTCTGCCAGCTGCCTGCCACGGGACGTCCGGAAGGCATCTCAAGCTGACACGTCCCAGACCAAACTTCTGATTCCCCTTCCCAGGCCCCTCCCCCACGTCTCCCACGGCTGCCAAGGGCGCCTCTGTTCACCCCGTTCTTGGGCGCGAGCCTAGGATCACACCCACGGCTAATCTGTCTGGATATGTCTGTTGGTTGGTTCATCCTTCACAGCATCCCTCAGATCTGACACTTCTTTCCTTCTCCACAGCTGCCGCCTTGGACAACAGAAATCTTTCTCCTCTCTTCCACTCTTGCCCACCCCCTACCACCACCCACTCTCCATCTAGCTGTCAAAGTTATTCTTTTAAAGCAAATGTTAGGCCATGTCACTTGCCTGCTCACAGCCCTCACCAGCTTCCTGCCCCACTTAGAAGAAAATATAAAGTCCTTCCTGACCTACAAACAGGCACGAGATCTAGCCTCTGGTGGCCGTCTGCCCTCATTCCCCTCTACGGCTCTAGCTAGCAGCCTTCTTGCTGTTTTCCAACATACACAGCCCTGCTGGGCAGCTGGATAGCTCTATGCAAAAGAATGGAGTTTGACTCTTAGCTCACAGCATACATAAAAATTAACTCCAAATGGATCAACAGCCTAAATGTAAGAGCTAGAACCACAATACTCTTAGAAGAAAACACAGGGGTCAATCTTCAAGATCTTGGATTTGGCAACAGATTCTTAGATATGACACTAAAAGCACAAATAACAAAAGGGAAAACAGATAAACTGGACTTCATCTACATTACAAACCTTTGTGCATCAAAGGACATTACCAAGACAGTGAAAAGAAACATACAGGATAGGAGAAAACATTTGCAAATCATGTATCTGATAAGGATCTAGTATCCGGAATATATAAAGAACTCTTACATCTCAACAACAAAGGCAAACAACCCAATTTAAAAAGGGAGCAAAAGACTCGAATAGACACTTCCTGATAGAAAATATACAATTGGCTAACAAGCATGCAACAAGATGCTCGACATCATTAGTTATTAGGAAAACGCAAATCAAAACCACAGTGAGATACCACTTCACACCCACTAGGATAGCTATAATAATAATTTAAAAACCAGAAAATAACAAGTGTTGGTGAGGATGTAGAAAAACTGGAAGACTCATACACTGCTGGTGGAAACCAGTTTGGTGGTTCCTCAGTAAGTTAGACATAGAAGCGGCATATGACCCAGCAATTCCGCTCCTAGGTATATATCCCAAAGAATTGAAAACAAGTATTCAAACAAATACTTGTACGTAAATGTTCATAGCAGGACCGTTCACAGTAGCCAAAAGGTTGAAACAACCCACACGTCTGACAACAGATGAGTGGAAAAACAAAATTCAGTCTACATATACAATGGAGTGCTATTCAGCCATAAAAAGAAATGAAATATTGATGCATGAAAATATTATGCTACGTGAAAGAAGCCAGTCACAAAAGGCACACATTGCATGATTCCATTTATATGAAATATCCAGAATAGGCAAATTCATAGAGACAGAAAGCAAACTGGTGGCTGCCACAGGTGCAGCAGGGGGGAATGGGGAGTTACTGTTTAACTGTATGGGGTTTCCTTTAGGGGGATGAAAATTTTTTGGAACTAGATAGAGGTGGTAGTTGTGCAACATTGTGAATGTACTAAATTCCTCCAAACCATCGTATGATGATTTTATATTAGCCCATTTCAAGCCATAGGCTCTGGCCGTTCCTCTGCCTGGGCATGCTCCCTGAGTTCTGTGTGGCTTGCCCTCCCAGTGTTCTGGTCCCTGCTCACAAGTCATCTCCTGAGGGGTCTTTCTTGACCATCCTCCTCCCGCCTTCACCTATTTAAAATGTCACTGCTTCCCACTCATCCACCACCCCCAGACAGACAATAGCAAACTCTTGCTCACCTTTCAAGGCCAAGCTTGACTGCTACCTTGAACACTAGGCAGAACTAGCCACTTCCTCCTCCGGTTCCCATGCCCTTTATAGTGCAGGGATCTGTCTGCTTGGCGTGGCTACTCTTCCTCAAGGACAGAACAAGTACCCACCCAGTGGCTCCCGCCCCAGCACTAAGCAAACGCTTGGTAAGGAAACGACTGTGTTGCTGCTTAAGAAGGCGTCCAGTTCTCTCAGGACAAAGCCACTCCTTTCCCTTAAGGGGGAGACGGAGAGCGGCTGCAGTGTTCACGGCCCTGCTGCCCTGCCTGGCTGGCCGGGAGGAGCCAGGACTACGGGAAACCCAGGCCTCACCTGGAGCTCCCAGAAGATGCTGCGCGTGTGGCGGTGGTAGTAGTGTCTCAAGGGAATGTACTCCAGGCCCTCTCGGTTTGTCTTCAGGTAATTCTCCACGTGCTTGAAGAACCACGGCTTGTAGTAATTGCCAATGCTATTCAGCTGAAATGACAGAGGGCATTGTCATCAGCCCACAGACAAGCGCCCGATGCCATCAGGGCGTAACGGTGATACCCGGCTTCTGTTCAGCACTCCTGGCCTTTTCAAAGCTCTTTCATGTCTGTCACCACCTTTGTGGCTCTTGAAAGCTGGGTAAGGTTAGGCCAGTGGGTATTTTCTAGCAGAGAGCGCAGAAGCTCAGAGGTTAAGTGGTGTGCCAGGGCCAAACGGCAGCCCCATCCTAGCCCGGTGCTGCTCCTCGATGACAGACAAGAGCACAAATGTTTAAGTGTCTGCCACGGTGCCGTGCTCCAGGCAGGGGAATTCCCTCCCTCCCTTCCTCCCGCCCTCCATGAGCCAGTGTTGGCACAAACACCGCGTGTGGGTCATCCCTCCACTGCCACCCAGGCCCGCATTGCTGCCAGGCCGCGGCACTTTCCCTCCTGTCCCTGGGCTGAGCTCCCACCCCTCTGGCATAGCACTTCCGCTGGCAGCCCGCATCATCTGGAGGAAGCTCACAAGAATAAACCCACACGCCTCCCTGGCACTGGACCCCCTGGTCTCCAATGCCCAAATCTTATATCGAGCCGGTGTCTTCTCCAGTCCTAAATAGTCAGGACTCAATGTGTTGTGTGCCCTGGGATGACTTAGCCTCTCCAGGCCTCAGCTTCTCATCCACAAGACGAATCTGGGCAGATGCTGCCGGGGACAGGTGGGGGCATCCTGGAAACAGCACAGGCTCTGGGGTTGGGCGGCTGGGGCCGAACCTTGGCCCAGTCCCCACTAGCTCTGTGACCTTAGGCAGGTCACTCTCTGAGCCTGTCTCTTCACATGCAAAATGACAATAAAAATATATACTTTGTGGGAGTTTTTTGTGCCTATTAGAAATTACTCACACATGCACACACTGTTTTTATAAAAATGGGACCATCCTGTATACAGTTTGCCAATTTGCTTTTTCCGCTTACAACACACTTGGCTGATCTTGGGCAGGTTGGTTACTTAGAATCTCTGAGCCTCATGTTCTGTACAGGAAAAATGGAGACATTGCTACCCTCCCCTGGAGTGTTGGGAAGACTAAAGGAGATAATGTAGAAGGTGCCTGGTGCAGCACCTGCCCCACAGTGGGCACAGCCCTGCCTCTTGCTGGCCCAGCCCCAAGCCCTTTGTTAGCCTGCTCCACCCTGGATCCAGGGACCCCTGCCCTCCATCCCTGGCCTCCTGCAGCCTGTCTGCAGCCCCTCCTGTGTGAGACCACACTGCTGGTCGTCTTCTCTGCAGGGAGGAAACTGGGGCTAAAGAGCCTGTTCACCCAAATCAGTTTCAGCGTGACAGTAAGGGGCGGGGCAAAAAACACCCCACACTGGCCTCTGCCTGCTAATGCGAGGGAAGGTGAAACCCAATAGGAAACAGGGCAACCTGATCTAACCCCAGGTGAGGCCTGGTGCATACCTGGCCCTGGCACCAGCTGCCTAATGAAAGTGAGACTTGGTGGTACCTGCATCAGGAGACATGCGTGCCAGAAATGCCCAGGATATGACAAAGAATCTAGATGTGTGTCTCTCCTGAGCACGTGCCAGGTGAGGCGGCCAGGTAGCCGAATGAACTCCAGTCCAGCCCTCACACCTTGATAGCGCCACCTCTTGTCTCTGGGCCTGCCCTGTACAATGCGGGCAGGCTGCCTCCTCCCAGGGTCGCAGTGAGCCAGTGGCCAGTGCCTGCAGAGGGCCCCTCACAGGGCTTGGCACACGTGGACAAAGTGCCGAGCAGCGTTCCAAACAGGAATGTTTGCAAGAAATGCTCCTAAAATAAAATGTCCACACATCTTATGGCATCTACCACTCTCCTGTCCCAGCCCTGTTCCCACTGAGTATCAGGGTCTTGCTCTTTGGGGCACCTGGCAAATATCCATGGCCTTGGAGCCCAGCCCCTCTGCCACTGGTGCCAGGAGAGCCTCTGGGTAAGGCCCTCTAGGCCTCAGTTTTCTCCTTGGGAAATAAGGGAATCAAGTCATGTGTTCAAACATTTTAAAATCTGTACAAACCTTCTGCTCAATCATAAACTTAGGTGGCATTGAATATATCAAACAGATGATAGCAGAGTGGCTTTGGGTACAGTGGGGTTGGTGACTCCCCTGGGACCCTCCCTTGGCCTTACTACGGCTGACAACCTCTAAGGGAACACCTTGGAGCAGACCTCTGGTCTAGATGTCCTTGCTAGGTGACCAGGTGCTAGATGACACACAGTGACTAGGTTTTGGCTCGGGTCAACCAGAACCAGGGCCCGGGGAGGGCCAGAGTACTTGGGCTCAGTGTCCAGTGCTGCTGCCACCACTGCTCCAGGACCCTGTGCCCCAGTACTCAACAGTGTCCCGCAGAATTTGTGGATGATGCTAAATTCTAAGGGCTGATGAGCAGGGGATCTGATGCTGAACCAGGAGTCAGAGACTGGAATTTAAATCTGGTCTGTCCTACCTGTGTGTCCTCAGGAGTCTCGTTCCCTCCCTGGGCCCCTTTTCCTTATATGGAGAGGGGGTTGTACCAGATGATTTTCTAGCCCTTTCCAATTTTAAAATGTTTTAAGTACATAGGTATAGAGAAGACCCTTAAGAGATGTCTATCCTTTGACATACTAATTCTACTTTAAGATATTATTCCAGTTACAGACAAAAGATATTCAGTGGCTCCATTAATTAAAATAATGAAAAAATTAGAAGCAACTTAAATTTCCAACTGTGGGGCAGTGATAGGGCATTCATTCAATGAGATAAATATTCTGTAGATGGACATGAACAATGATAGTTATGGAGGCAACGTAACAACATAGAGAAATGCTCGTCACACTAAACAAGAAAAGACACGTTTGAACAGGCGATCACACCTAAAGACAAACCAACCAAAAAACTCTGCAAAGAGATGCTCAACCTCACAAGTGATCCAAGAACTGCAAAATAAAACGAGATACTATTTTTAACCCTATCAGATTGGCAAAAATGAAAGAGTGACACTATCCAGTGTTGGCAAGAACGTAGGGGAAAAGGCGTTCTCACACGCCGCCACTGCAAGCAGGCGTGCGTGCGGCTCCCCTGGAGGGCTGTTTAGTTGTATCTATCAATGGTTAATGTGCTCAAAGCTTTGGGTCAGAAACTCTATTTTCTACTACACAAATGTTTGTACAAAAGGGCAAGGACGGATAGAAGAGATCAATCTTCAATGCAATCTTCGATGTTAGAGCAAAACAATTTAAGCAACATGAATGTTCATCAGTAAGTGATGAGTTAGGCCAATTTACGTGCAACAGTGGGATATGATGGAATGAAACGAGGGTGGACACACGTACACACATACACAGAAATGAGTCTCAAAGGATGCACACAAAACCGTTACAAGTGGTTACCCTGGGTGTAAAGAGATGCACTTTAACCTTTTCTTTATGTATTTCAACATTGTTATATACTACTTTTGCAATTTACTAGACAGGTGCTTTAACCAGCTAAGCCACGGAGCCAGCACTACTTTTGTAATTTAAAAACTTAAAAATCTATACACAGAACAAGACAGGAAATAGACAGCCTTCCCCTAGGATCCATGGGGGATTGGTTCCTTGACCTCCCCAAATCCGAGGCTCAGTCCCTTACGTAAAATGGCACAGTATTTGCATGTAAGCTATGCACACCCTCCTGTACACTTTGAGTCATCTCTAGATTACTCACAATACCTAATACAATGTATAGGCTCTGCAATGGTTGTTATACAGTATTGTTGAGGAAATAATTGCAAAAAAATGTCTATCCATGTTCAGCACAGACACAATCATCCATTTCTCCCCACCGAATATTTTCACTCTGTGCTTGGTCGAATCCACGGATGTGGAACCCACAGATGTGGAGGGCCGACTGCATACCAAACACATTAGCAACAGCTGGCCTGGGGTCATGTTTACAGCTGGAGGCTTTTCTTTCTTTTACTTGTTTATACCTTCCAAGTCTCTTATTATAAGCACAGATCCTTTCTAAATGGAGGAAAACTGCTATTAAAAATTACACGGTGTAAGGGGAAGGAATGTCAATCTGGATTCTGAAGCATCAAATCAGTTACTCAGAGCTTGGCTTCATCACCTCGTGGAAGTTTTACATTAGCTCTTGGAGCCTCGGTTCCTCGTCTATGAAATGGGGTTGCTGTGAGCACCAAAGATTACACCTATCGAAAGACCAGTGCATCCCTGGCAGGTGGCGGGGGCAGAGTAAATGGAAGCTTTCATCACTGTCCACGTCTCTGGTGGGAGATCCTGTTGCCTGTACCCCAGGCGGGCTGGCCCAGGGAGCAGCCTTGAGTAGCTGGCTGCCAGGGCCTGGGTGGGGGAATGGGCTCAGTCCCCTCCCCACCCCCGCCAGGCCTTCCTCATCCCCGGCCTACCTTGCTGGGCTCTGCCTCATCTGTCATGACACCCGTCATGATGACAGCCTCATCCAGGGAGTAGAGCAGCCCTTCAACAAAGTCGTTCTCCGGCCTCCGTGACTCTTGGGTGAATTTTTCACAGATGGTCTCCAGGCCCTGCACTGGCTCAAACCGCAGCTTGACATACTTCTTAGCAGGGATGATGCGGATCTCGGCGGCCACCAGGAAGCCCAGGGTCCCACAGGACCAGGGCACAGCGTAGAACAGGTCTGAGTTTTCGGTCTGAGCGACAGAATTGGCACATGTTGAGAGCTGGAGCCATGGACCCCATGTTGTGGGAGCAAAGAACCAGGGCCTGGCTAAATCCCTGATCTGTCACTATCTTGTGTAAATCCAAGCAATCAACTTTACAAACTGTACTTTCTGGGCTTTAGTTTTCTCTCTGCAGCTTCCGCATGACATTTACCTAATATTGCCCTCTGTCTCAGGGGTGTTCACTGAGAGAGCATCGTCCCGCTTCCGTCTGGGCACAGCCCCTGAACCAGAGGCCACCCAGGAAGCCATGACCAGCACTGCCCAAAGACCCACGATGGGGGACTAAGGAGCAGGGGTCCAAGGCCAGGCTAAAAAAGAGCTAAACCCTTACTCTGAGTCAGGGTAGCCAGGGAACATTAAGAGGCCTCCTTTCTGGGCCATTACTAAATTTACAAAGCCTTTCCCAGTCCATCCGCTTGTGGGACCCACCCCCTACAAAGCCCAGGGAGAGCATTAACACCCCTTATGACAGGTAAGGAAAGTGAGTTTCCAAGAGGCAACACGACTCACCCAAGGCTTCCCAGAAAGTCAGCTCAACCACACTGGGGTCCACACAAGGTCATCTAACCCCAGCTCCAGTGTTCTTCCTACAACACCTCTTCCGGCTCCAGAAACCTATATCTAACTTCATCATTTTCTTGTTTTGACATCTGTCTCAGAGATGGACAGCTGATTTTTCCTTTGGCCATTCTAATTCTAATAAAGCTTTGGTTCTAATAAAGCTCTTTTTGAAAATGTCCAGCCGTGTCTTGTCTTTACCAAGAGGACAGCCCTGTGCAGTCTCTGCTAAACCTACATGCCCTTGGTGGTGGGCATGGTGGATGTAGCAGGGCGGGCGAGCGGAGCAGGGAAGCCCTGCAGCAGGCTGGCAGAAGCCTTTGGAATAGCAGAACTGGATCCACCAACCCCCTTCTCGGCCACCAGCTAATCACACTGTTCGGATCATGGCAGTAATTACGAGGCACCCGTGCTGTGCTCGGCTCTCCTCGAGGAGGTTCCCATACAGCCTTGCACACCTACTTACTCCTCCTGACATTGGTCAGGTCAGGAACTTGGGCCTCAGAGAAGAGAGATAATGCACAAATGTTTGTCTGCTTAGAAGACAGGGCCCAGGCACGTGTTCAGGGAAAGGTGCTGAGTTGATGTCACTCCTGACACAGATCTCTCTCATTCAGGACCAGAGTTCCCAAGCTGGGAGTCCCTCCCTGGACTTTCTTCTGTGAGGCCAGTTAACTATTTTTTTTTTTTTTTTAATAAGTAGAAAGAGTATACGCTAAAATAATAATTAAAAATACAGGATAGTAAATACATAAACCAGTAACACAGTCCTTTATTACCAAGTATTATGTCTGTACATAATTGTATGTGCAACACTTTTATATCACTAGCAGTGCAGTAGTTTGTTTACAGCAGCCACTGTGGTGATCTCTGAAATATCTACTTCAAAAGGACGAAACCGTCCCTCCCATCCCAGGGGCTCCTTACACAAGCCAGGACAGATCTGAGGTTGCTTAAACGTTCCATACTGCTCCACTCCTTAGATAAAATGCCTTAAATGTTTGTGTCCCAGATGGGGTGGTAGAATTGTCTTTTATTTTTCCAAAACTGCCCCGTTAATCACTTTTATTTCTATAGTCATGCGCCGTGCGAAGTTGTCAGACTCAAATGGACACGTTAATGTTAAGAAAACCCTGATAAATGGAGCCGGGAAGGCCACGAAGACAGTGCGCTCCCTACACTTACATGTGTGCTAACAAGAAAGACTCTACAAAAACCACAACCTTGCACAAAGGCCATCGCAATCTTACATAAAAAATACTTCTGCAAGGACATCTGTCCAAGATTGGAGGCATCATCCTTGTTATTGATCTTTGTAGCCACGGACAGTTCTCTCAAAACAAGTATGCAATCCTCCTAATTTTTCCTTTAAAAACCTTTGTCTTCTTTCACTTCCCAGAATATGCACACAGTTTACCATGGTACTGGAATTCCCATTACAATGCTCTATTTCCAAATAAATATCTTTTCTTTTAGAGAGCCCCTGTTACTTAGTTGAGTCGACAACCACATAATATCATTTTAGTCAGTGATGAACCGCGTGTATGACGGTGGCCTCATAAGGTTATAGTGGAGCTGAAAAATTCCTATCGCCTCGTGATGTCGTGGCCATCGTAAGGTCACAGCACAACGAATTACTCGTGTGTGTGGTGATGCTATTGTAAACAAACCTACTGCATTATTAGTCATATAAAAGTATTGCCCATGCAATTATATACAATACATAATGCTTGATAATGATAATAAAGGACTATGTTGCTGGATGATGTATTTACTATGTTGTACTTTTAATAGTTATTTTAGAGTGTACTCCCTCTTATTAAAAAGAAAGTTAACTGTAAAACAGCCTCAGGCAGGCGCCTTGGGTGGCATTCCAGAAAAGGGCATTGTTATCATAGGAGATGACAGCTCCATGCATGTTACTGCCCTGAAGACCTTCCAGTGGGACAAGAGGTGGAGGTGGAAGGCAGTGATACTGATGATCCTGACCCTGTGTAGGCCTAGGCTAATGTGTGTGTTTGTGTCTTAGTTTTTAACAAAAAATTTAAAAAGTAAAATAATATTTTTTAATAGAGAAAAGCTTTCAGAATAAAGATATAAAGAGCTTTGATGCTGAGGCCTGACTTTCTCTAGAGAGGCAGTATGGTGTAATGAATGGCTAAGGGCAAGGATCTGGGAGCCTGATTACTAGAGTCCAACCTGTGTGGGATTTACTAGCTGTGTGACCTAGGGCAAGTTATTAACTTCTCCGTGCTGTAGTTTCCTATCTATAAAATGAGTATATAATAGTACCTACCTCACAATGTTGTGGAAGGATCAAATGCCTTAGTATATATAAAACATTTACGACATTGCCTAAACACACATAAGGGGCTACACAAATTTTTTTAATTATTACACATACAGACCCAGACTGAACAGGTGTATTTAAAATGAAGCACCCCCAGGGAGCCACCTCCCTGACCCCAGGATCCTTAATGCCCAGAGCAGGCTGGCATGGATGTCCCCCATCTCTCAACTCACCAGCGTGCATCGCACAAAGCTGCCATCAGCCAGGACCAGCTCGTAGGCGGTGCAGATGTGTTGGAACAGGCCATACTTGTGAGATGATGACTCTATGCCTGTGCCCATGATCAAGCCCCCTGCAGAGACACACATGTTAGCCAGGGACCGCGGTGGGGTACAGGGTGGGGGTGGCTTGGAGCTGGGGGACCTCTTAGTACAAGGGAGGCGTGACAGGCTGGCAGAAATGGGGCTGTTGACTGAGGGTAGATTTCCCACCTCTGTGGATCTAGAGGGCAGGAGAGAGAAGGAGGGAGTTAAATGGGGAGGGCATCGTCAGAGGCAGGGGATAGATGGGCAGACCCCAGCAAGGGTGCTCACACCCTCACCTCTGGCCACCTCAACCTAGAAACCTGCAAGCATTTATTTTAAGAAAGACTTAAATGAAATGGCATGTTGATGGTGTGGCAGAAAGTCATGTTCTGAAGGTATCTCCTTTGGAAAAGAAAAGGCTTTTGGGGCCACGAATCCTATGGCAGAAAAGAGAGACTAGACTTATTCTGTGCATTCCCCAGGGTAGAATTGGAGCAATGGACACAGGGGAGCAGATTCAAGCCACAGATGGAAAAGTGCTGTCTAATAACTTGAGCTGCTCAGAAACAGAGCAGGGGCAGTGAACACCCTGCCACTGGAGCAGGCAAATAAGAGACAGGGCAACTTCTGTCACAGACGGAATAGTGGTGATTCCTAGACCAGATGGAAGGTGGCCAAAGCCCAGGGCTCTGATCCTAGGACCACTTGACTCCTCCTGCCCATTAACATGCAGTCCTCACCCACTGTGAGGTCATCGAGCTCGGGCAACACAGGCAGAGTCCAGCCAATGGAGGTCAGCAGGGCGGTCACTTGACCCATGGACACCAGGGGCTCCACACGGACAATCTGTTGACAGAAGAAAAGAAACCCTGGGTCACAAAGAGGCTGCCAGGCCTAGGAGGGGACTGCTGTACACCGGTGTCATCTCAAACCTTCCCAAACACTCAATGCAGGGATTCCTACACAGTCTTTACAGGCTCTTTCTAGAATACTACCCCGCCTTTAATTACAGTGAATGCAATTTCTAGCTCTGAGTTAACTAGTGTTTAACCTCATTCATTCAAGTATCTTTACATTTAATGCTTAGTTTATTTTTTTCTAGATTATAGGAGAAATACTCATTTACTTGGAAGATATAGCAAAAATGAAGAAGAAAACAAAAACCATCCATCCTAGTTTTTCAGAGTTACCAGTGTTAATGATGGAATGCATTTACTTTGTTTTTTTCATATATATCTATATTGCTATTTTCTATGTTTTAATACAACACACTCAAACACACACATGATTTTCTGTCTTGCCTTTTTAAAATTTAACACTATACTATGACCATCACCCCTTATCATTAAATATTCTTGGAAAACATGATTTTTAATGCACACATCAATATGCCATCCCATGGGCTTCTACTTCTAGCTGAGATGGAGCAACAGGGACCAGATTTATCCCGCTGCCTGAAATGGAAAAAAAAAAACACAAAAAAACCTCAGACAAAATATATGAAACAAGAGTTTTCACCACTGTGGACATAAGCAGTGAAAGTGAGTGATCCCTGAGAGGCAGGAAACAAACAAGGTGAGCTCTGTGGATGCCCAGCTAACCACCTACAGTTAGGCAGTGCAAGGAGGGGAACCCAGGTGCAGCCCATGGGCTCCCTGAGTTGAGGAGATAGAGATGAAAGCTCCAGAAGAGCAAAGTGAGTAGAGTCTGCAGGACAGAGTACCGGAGAGGAGAGAGTTGCACAGAGAGCAAACTGCAAAGGGTGTCCCTTGAATATTCAATTAAGTGCTGGTTGGTGCATACACATGAGGCTATTATCTGAGGCTGAAGTCAGGGAAAAAACCACCAGAGAAGGTAATAGGTAATAGCACCAGGGGCTCACAAGGCAAGAGATAGTGCCAGTGCCCATAAGTCAGACTGGAGAAACCTCATGATTTTTCTAGTACTCAGGATGCTCTTGCCTCAGCAGTAGGAAATAAATAACCTGAGATTAAATGCTGCCCTGGTCTCACCTAAAAGAATCAAGACTCAACAGATCAAACCATTCCAAATAACTTAGCTGCCTCCTAGAAAAAAAGTCAAAAATACAGGAATACAAAAACACCCAGCACCCAACAAGGTAAAATGCCAGAATGTCACAATGTCACAATCCAGTCAAAGTTTACCAGACATGCAAAGAGGCAGGAAAATTTGATCCATGATGAAGAGAAAAATCAATCAAACAAAACAGACCAGCATTGACACAGATGTTAGAATTAGCCAGCAGGAACATCAAACAGTTGTTATAACTGTATTCTATATATTCAAAAATTTAAATAGAGACATTAAAAACATATTGAAAAGACCCAAATCAAACTTCTAGAAATGAAAACCACAAAGTCTAAAACGAAAGACACACTGGATGGGACTAACAGCAAATTAGAAATTGTAGAAGAAAAGATTAGTGAACTTAAATATATAGCAACAGAAACTATCCAAAATGAAACAGAGAGAGAAAAAAGAATTTTAAAAGTGAACAGTGCCTCAGTGAGCTGAACTGAGGAACAACTTGAAGAAAACATAGAAGAAAACCTTTGTGACAAAGATTTCTTAAATAAGACATCAAAAACACAATGTGTAAAAGAAGAAATTAGTAAGTTGGACTTATTAAGAACTTTTGGTTTTCAAAAGACAAGACACAGACTGGGAGAAAATATTTGCAAATTATTTATCTGATGAAGGACTTGTTTCCAGATATATGAATGGCAAGTATACACACGAAATGTGCATAATCATTAGTTATTAGGGAAATGCAAATCAAAACCACAATGAGAAACTACTACACACCTATTGCAATGGCTAGAACTAAGACTAACCATGCCAAGTTTATGATGATATGGAACAACTAAAACACTCATACTACTGGTGGGTAAAATGGTACAACCACTTTGAAAACCAATTTGGCAGTTTCTTAAAAAATTAAATGTATACTTACCATATGATCTAGTCATTCCACTCCTAAGTACTTGCCCAAGAGAGAGGAAAGCATATGTCCACACACAAACTGTTCACAAATGTTCCACTTTGTTTGTAATAGATCCCAAATTGGAAACAGCCAAAATGTCCATCAGCAGGTGAATGGATAAACTGCGATATATCCACACAATGGAACACTTCTCAGCAGTGAAACAGAATGTACTATTGACACATGCTTCAACACGAATGAGTCTCAAAATAATTATGCTGAGTGAAAGAAGCTAGACAAAAAAAAGAGTACTGTATATTCCAGTTATACAGAACTCTAGCTCCAAACTAATTCACAGTGACAGAAAGCAGATACACCATACTTAATGACTCCCTGACTATTGGGTTCATTAGAGATAAAGCTGTGATATAATCTGTCTTTGTGTTGGCTATCTTTAATTACATTGAAGCCTATTTCCTTTTTCCTTACGCCAGGTGTCGAGAAGTAGAATTACTAGATGGGCCAAAGACTATGCATATTCCTAAGGCTATTAAACAAGTGGATCTCCAGGAAGCTTGTAATAAGGCCCACACCTGCCAGCCACCTTCGTAGTCCATTTTTCACCAGCAAGTTTCCTTACCAGGGAAGGGTAACTGGGTTTCCTTTTGCCTCTCGTTTTTGCCCATGGTCTCCCCATCCCTGACTTCCTGTGGAACTGCAGACAACCAAAGGGTCCCCCTGAGCTCTCAGTTTGTCCTCTTGTGAGATGGGACTATGGCCCATCTCTCCCTCTGGTGGCTGTGAGGCTTTGGAGGACAGCAATGGTGGACGGAGCCTTACGTGATGACCACGGGTCTTGGTCCTGTTCACTCTGGCATGCCCTTGGCTAAAATCATCTCCCTGAGTCACCTGCACCAGGGGCAGTGCTCCAGACCCCGGGAACAGTGATGCTCTCACCTGTTTCTTGGTGTCCACCTCCAGAATGTCCATCAGGTTGATCATGATGTTTTTGTGTGTCTTCTTGTACTTTCCGACCCGCAGTGAGACGGTGAGCCAGCCAGGGCGCCCCGTGCACATGAAGGTCTTGCTGCCCTGTTCCTTCCATTCCCGCACCTGCAACCAGGGGACAGAGGCTGAGCTGGCTCCACCAGGATCCCCAGAGCAGCTTGCAGCTCTGCTTTCAGGGAGAGGGATCTGGGAAGGATGCCTCCGTCCAGCGACTGGGAGGAATGGAACGATGGAAAGCCCTGCTGGCCCTACCCTCTGGCACCTCCCTGGTTAGCGAGGCCGGCAGAAAAGCCAACATCTTGCTATACCACAAGGCAGAATGAAGAAAGAACTAGAATACAGGATCAAAATGTTTTGAAAACATTAATTCTAACTGGGAAGTTCAGAAAAGGTTTTATAATGGTAATAATGGCAATGATAAGAATGTACCATTTACTGGGTGTCCCCACCATGCAAGGCACCTATTGCACACTGTCCTGTTTAATTCTCAAAACAATCCCAGGGAGTTAGGATGACACCCTTTTGCAGATGAGAAAACTCAGAAGCAAAATAACTTGCCAAATGTCACACGACTGGTGAATGGCAGAGCCCAGATTCACAGCCAGGACTGTATGACTTCAGGCCTGGCAGGATAGATGAGCTTGTAGTAATACTCCACAGAATAAGAGCCGACACTTATTGAGGCTTATTATGTGCCAAGCCTTGTTCTAAGCATTCACATGTGTTAATTCATGTATCACCTTGGGGGAGAGAAGGGACAGGAAAGGACCACCAAGCCAATGGAAGGAGCAGCTTTTGCAAAACCTCTAATGTAAGTGACCAGAGCACAAAACACAGAGACTAATTTGCCCAGGGGATGACAAGCCCATCAGGAACACAGGAGGAAGTGCTCCTTTCCTGTTGAGATGGATAAGAGCAGGGGAGGTAGATATCTGTTGTTCTGACCTGCCACCATCCACTTCCTTTTCTTCTGCTTCTAACAATGCCAACTTCCTTTGGTCTAGTGAGGCTAATACTACTCCCCCACCCCAGGAGGTGGGTGCACGACTGAGATCTGATTCAATCCTCCTGGCCACAGGTTCAGGGATAGGCCTATGACCCAACTCAAGCAATGACACCAGTTCCAGGAGAGGCACTCTCTCTTTGCTGGGGTTTCTAAGCTGCTTGGATATAAGCCAGAAACTGCTGGGGCCTCCACAGGGAGACAGTCTCCCAAGAATGAAGTCAACCCAGAGAGAACAGAGCGAAGAGATGACAGATGGATGGAAAGATGGAGATGGGGAAGAGGGGGTCCTGATATAGCCATGCCTGGGCCAGTTTTACAACTGGACTTTTCAGAACCCAGACCAATAAAGTCCCCTTTTGCTCAAGCATGTTTGAATTTAGCTTCTTTAACTCGCAACCAGAAGTCCTACTGAATACTGGTCGGGCCTCCTGGAGGAGGCTGCATTGGAGCTGGCCCAACAGCTCAACATGGGGAAGGATTTTCCTATGAGCAGAGGCCAGAGAACTGGGAGAGGGCAGGTATTGAGGAAGGGATTCCTGCGAGCTGGGAGTGAAGGGATGAGAGGTGGGATTACCTGACCAACCAGGCCTGGCCCCTGCCCTACTCTGTAGCCCCAGGACTTGATACAAACGTAGAGGTAGGAGAGAGTGGATTAGGGGTGCTGCATTTAAGCTGGACGGTGGGCCACAGGAAGTGAATGTGGAAGCCATGAAGCCTGAAACACGGATTGGACTGGATCCTGATGGGAGCCAATCAAGATTTTGGGCAGGTACTCGAAGACTACTACTTGCAGGCCAAAGAGAGGTGAGGTGGGCCCAGAAAAGGGGCAACTGGTCAGACAGCTACTATAACAAACCAGGTGTTGTAGAACCAGACCTACAGGATTGGGGGTGGGGAGAAGCATGGGAAAGAAGAGATGTTGGAGTTTGGACTCTGAGATTAAGATATCCTGGGCTTTAGCCCCATTTACCAGCTACGTCATTCTGGGCACATAACTCAGTTTGAACCTCATTTTTTTCCCATTTGTAAAAACAGGTGCAAGACCTACCAGGGTTGCTGTGAGGATTAGAAATAATGGACATCAATGGCACAGGGTGCAGCACATGGCAGGTCAGGGCAATGGGCTAGTCCAGCGGGGCCCCTTGTCTGCCTGCCCACAGTGAGCCAGTTGGTTTAGTTTCGGTTGATAAGCACTCACTAGGCTGCTTTGAGCAGGCCCCGGGGCCAAAGGTGAGTCAGATAACAGTCTCTGCCTTCCAGGAGCTCACAGCCTGATGGAGGAGACATGCAGGTAAGTGGAGAATCTGAACTTGTGGAGAGAGCTAGGAAAGAGAGTGCATTTGGGCAGGGAGAGTAGGCAGGGCTCTGGAGCCGTGTGACTGTGGCCAGCAAAACCCAGGGCTCCCACCAGGCCCAAGGGCTTCTCTCTCACAAGAATGTCTCTCTGCATCCATCTTCCCGCTCTTGCCCGCAGCACCAGAGCAGAGCAAACAGAATATGGAGGCTGCTACACCTACTGGAGGGTGGTTGCAGGGAACAGAAGCTCTCTGCAACCTGATGCCCGTAAGACAGGAACATAAGGAGGGCAGAGGGAGCCAAGAAACTGCCCTGCCCCACGCCTGTGCCAGATCTGGATGTGGAGGAGGCTCCTCTGTGAGCTGCAGCAGGGTCACAGGCTCTGTGGGTGCTGGCCCAGGGAGGATGTCAGAGGTCCTGGGAGATGGACCGACTACCTTTGTCCAGGAGTGAGCCCTCCATCACCAGCGGCTGTGAGGCTCTTCCCTTGGGGTTCTACTTTTTCGCTTTAGTCCTCTATTCTAAATGCAGCGAAAGCACCTTGCTGCTACAAAATAAACTCCAAACTCAAACCTGGCATCGAGGCCCCTCTCCAACCTAGCTCCAAACAAACTTTCCAACCTTCTCCCCCTCCCATCCCCACACTTTCCCCCTTCCCAGCCTTCCCTCTCACCTGACACACCTTCCCCCAATCATTTACCCTATTTCCCAATTTCTAGACCCAGTTCCACCCCCCCCCCAAGCCTTTCCTCCTCCAAAACACTTGGGTCTGGTGAGAGTTACCTGAGCGTTGCACACCTTCCCCTGTCTTAGGATTCCTTACAGCCCCGCACGTGCCCTGCACACAGTGGGCACTCCATAAACATCAGTGCAATGTTTTGCTCCCCACTGCCTTTGCTTATTCTGTTCCTTCCCCGGAACCCTCCCATCCATTTTTGTTTCATTCCAATCCCCCTCCAACGCCAGCTCCTCGGTGGAGTCCTGGCTCCGCACTGCACCGCGCATCCCTTCGCCGCCGGCGTACCGCTATCCACGCGCCCGCCGCGTCTCCCGGAGCCCGCGTCTCTGGGCCCCGGGCGCGCCCGGCGCCCTCACCTGCTTCTGGATGTCCCGCACGCGCTGCTCGTGCAGGCGCGGCGCACTGCTGAGCTTGAACACCACCCAGGCGCGCACGTAGTAGTAGATGTCGAAGATCAGCGAGAGCGGCAGGAGGAAGAGGCACACGAACACCCAGCGCTGGTGGATGAGCACGAACTCCAGCCCCTTCAGGCGCACCCAGAGCAGGAAGAGCAGCGCGCATACGGCCAGCGACACGGCGGGCTCCATGGTGCCGCAGCGTGCCGCGCGGGGAGGGCTGCAGGCTCTCGCCGCCTGTCACCGCCGCCCGCTCCACGCTCGGCCAGCTCTGCGCCCGCCGCCCGCCGCCTAAGCAGCTTGGGGATCGCCCGCCGCCTCGCGATTGGCTCGGGTCGCCAAGGTTCGGTGGGCCGAGACCCGGGCGGCGACCAATGGCGAGTCGCGTCGGGAATCGGACCAGGAATCCGCTGCTTTCATTGGCTGTGGGAGTCAGGCCGCTCCACCCTCTTCTCCCCGCCGCCGCGGGAGGAGGAGGGGCTGACCCGGGGCAGGGGCGCTGGTGGGGTCAGCGGCGCTCTGCAGCACAGCGCGGGAATGCCGGGTCGCGGGCCGCGGGGCTGCAGGGCCTCCCCTTCCTCTCCTCCCTGTGTGGCGTTTCCTCGAGACACTCATTAAACGGTCACGCGTCGGGTTATCTCCCGAGGAGTGGGAGGTGCCCAGGCCCTGAGTCAGTCACCCTGCAGCTGGGCAGGAGCTTCCCGGGCCTTGGAAGGTGGAAACCTGGCTTTGATTTGGACAGGTCACGTCACTCCATGGGCGCAAGGCCTCAGGAGGCACCTTTTTGTTTTGAGGGGGGCACTTTCCGTAAATTCATTTGAGCCACACTGCAGTCCTGGGCGGTGGGTAGTGAGCCCCGTTTTACACAGGAGGAAGCGTCGCGGAAAGACGAAGACCTGTCGGTGAACTCCGAAGGACTTTTGAAGCACAGAAGGCTGCAGCTGGCACCTTTCCCCCTTTTCCTGTGGGCTGAGGCACACGGGGAGGCTTGGAGGAGAAGGAATGAAGGCATTCCAGCCGGCATAGACCACACAGGGCCCTTCTGTGCCAGGCAGTGTTGCAGGCCCCGTTGGGGTGGTGAGCAAAACAGAGGGCCCCGCCAACACCGAGCAACCAGTCTAGGGGAGCAGCCAACTTTCCCAGCAAAAGCTTCAATCCAGTGTCATTTGCATTTCTTCTGAAATATTAGGAAGCTTCAAGATGTTTTGTTTTAGAAGTCAAACATGAGGTGCCAGGCCCTTCTCTGCCTGGCCTTGCTCACCTATCCAGCTGCCTCTGCTTTCTTCATCTGTCTCCCAAATAAGTGGCTGAGGCAAAAATCTCAAACAGTGGAGGTTTATCAACCCAAAGTTGAGTAGGTGCCTGGGGAAAACATGAACCGCAAACAGACCTGTGGCTGTTCTTCTGAAGGGGAGTTTGTGGGGACCGTAGTGAGGCAAAACGGCTAGATTCTTGTGAGGCCCAGGAAATCTACATTTTACGTAAGATTAGGCAAATATTAGAAGTGAAAAAGGGAGTGAAGGAAGCATCAATTATGTAGATGTCCCTCCCTGGGTGGGTGGAAGAATGTCTGATCCTGTCTGTCTCCTGTTCCGCATCTGTGAAGATAAACTTGTAATTCATTATTAGTGTGGAATCAAACAAACTTTAGTTTTAGGAGCTAGATGTAGCCTGGGAACCTAAAATTACATTTTGCATGTCTTTGCTTATGAGGCCTTTACCTTCCTTTTGCATAAGGAGTTGGGGGGAATGGCCCTGAGATTTTCATTTTCTTTTTACACATCTTTCTCATGTCGTGCACTCTTAGGCCATTCTCCGGGCTTCACCATCCCTTATTTCAGTGCTTTTGTTCAAGCTGGCACCTCTGGAATGCCTTTTCCCATCCCCTTCACAAAGCTAACATAACACACCCCTGAAGCTACAGCTACATTTATGACATATTCTTCCTCCTTCAGTTGCTCATAAAATCGTGTGCATCTGTGTCATCATTCTTTCATGTTATTTCATAATTGTTTTTTTATGTGTCTCTTACCCCCACAGACTGAGCTTTAGGGCAAACAACATCTTGTTCTCCAATGAATGAATGAAGATCGTAGGCAAGGGCTCAAATATTCAATAGCAGTCAAAGTCCAGAGAGTGAGCGGCTGTTTGCACAGGGCTCCAAAAGTGAATAACCTAGGCCTGAACTGTCTTATATGACAGCCTGTTAACGGAAAAGAGCCCAAACTCTGCAAAATAATTTAAAGAGGTTTATTCTGAGCCAAATATGTGCAACTATGGTCCAGAAAGCCATGTGCAAGAAGGCTTGAGCAAGTGGTCCTACTGTAGTTGGGTTACAGTTCGGTTTTCTATATTTTAGAGAGACAGGAATTACACGTAAAGTCATAAATCAATACATGGAAGGTGTACATTGGTTTGGCCTGAAAAGGCAGGACATCTTGAAGCAGGGGCTTACAGGTTATAGGTAGATTTAAAGAGTCTTTGATTTGCAATTCGTTAAAGAAATGAAGCTTTGTCTAAAGGCTTGGCATGTTTTAAGTTAAGATACGGAAGTCTGTTAATCAGAGAGAAGTCACGGATATATACCGAGACTCAAGTGATCTGTTAAGTAAATTGACTTGCAAGTGTGATTTAACTTTTGTCTTACAGGTGTGTCTGATCTCCCTTCTCCTCATGGCTGGCAACTCAGCTGTAAGGTTTTTCTGGAGTACCCTTGGCCAAGAGGGGGTCCGTTTAGTTGGCTGAGGGGCTTAAGATTTTATTTTGGCTCATATTTCAAGTTGGCTTGTCCAACTTGAAATGCCCTTTAAATGTAAAACACACACTGGATTTCAAAGACTTAGTACAAAAAAGAGAATGTAAAATAGCTCATTAATCATTATTATATTAATCGCACATTGAAATAACATTTTAATATATTGAGGTAAATAAAATACAGTATTAAAATAAATTTTACTTTTAAAAGTAACTACTAGAAAATTAAAAGTACAGGTTTGTCTTGCATTACATCTCTAGAAGCTCCAATCAAGAGGGGGGAACCAGCTGGGCATGGTGGCTCATGCCTGTAGTCCTAGCACTTTGGGAGGCCTAGGTGGGAGGATTGCTTGAGGCCAGGAGTTTGAGACCAGCCTGAGCAATACAGTAAGACTCCTGTCTCTATAAAAAAAATACAAAGATTAGCCAGGCTACTCAAGCTACTCAGGAGGCTGAGGCAGGAGGATCACTTGAGCCTAGGAGTTTGAAGTTTTAGTGAGCAATAATGACACCACTGAACTCTAGCCTGGGCAACAGAACAAGACCTTGTCTCAAAAAAAAAAAAAGCCTGGAGGAGGGAACTGAGGTATAAAGTATGGAAAATGCCTCCCCTGGTCCTGTCTGAATTCAGATGTTGAAACTGTCACGGCTTTATTTTCTGTTCTGACTATTTTTGGGGTATAAGGTAATCTGGAAAGCAAAGTTCAACCTAAAAATTAACTGAGTTGTTGAGCGTTGTGTAGGAGAGACAAGGGAAATTACTGGTTAATCAGAATAGTTTTACACTTGGGAGGAGGAGGACGAAACCCCTAAAAGTAGATAAAACTGATCTTTAGGAAACAACTCTGAAAAGTAAAAAGCAATGAAAAAGTACTCAGAACAATTGTTTATTCAGCAATCCTGTTTTTTTGTTTTTTGTTTTAATTCTCCCTTCCTGCCTACCCTCCTCATACTTTGTGATTCTTCTTTACTCTTTCCACAAACTCCGATCCTTTGGATTGCTTTTATGTAGGCAAGGAAAACAGTCACTTTGTTAGGTCTGGGTGGAGGGTAAAGGAGTGGCAAGGATGTGCCTAGGGGCAGAGAGTGGGAACCAAATTGTAGCTAGGAACCAAATTGCCACTAGGAACTGTTCCCTGGTGGGACTATACATAGTGAAATGTTCCTAGTAACCTTTAACTGACAGAGGTCATTACCATCCAATTAGCATAACATGGGTGGAGCTTCATGGAGAATTCCAGAAAAGACATATGCCTGGAAAGGGAAACTATCGTATAACCTATGCTGTTATGTAACCTGTCATGTGATCTGTTATAGAACACCAACCTGTCAATCACCTCAAAGGCGAGAAATGACAACCAATCCTGCCAGGGGAAGGGCGGGACAAACTAGTGGGCTTATAAAAGGCAGCACTTGCTCAGCCTCTAGCATCTTTCTCCATTCATGGGGACTGACCTGTTCCACCCTCTCTGGAACATATTTCGCTTTGAGTAGCTTCCTTCTGTACTTTCATTCTTTCTTTTATGTGATAAACTGTCTAAAAATTGCTCTGTATCTGTGATTCCTCTGTCATTGGCTGGACTTGGTACCAGTACTCATTCTTGACCCTGGGAACCGGGGGACGAGGGAACATCCACGCAGATGAACCTAACAACCTTGAGTTGGGCCAATTAATGCATTTTATTTTATTATTGTTTTTTAGAGATAGGTCTCATTCTGTCACTCAGGCTGGAGTGCAGTGGCACAATCACAGCTCACTGCAACCTTGAACTCCTGGACTCAAGTGATCCTCCTGCCTCAAGCCTCCTGCGTAGCTAGGGCTACAGGCGCGTCTGACCACACCCAGCTAATTTTTTAATTTTTTTTGTAGAGATGGGTCTCTCTGTGTTGCCCAGGCTGCTCTCCAGCTGGCCTCAAGTGATCCTCCTTCTTCGGCCTCCCAAAGTGCTGGGATTACAGGTGTGAGCCACCATGCCTGACCTATTGTATATTTTTAAATTAACATGGAGTAAAACTGCTTATCTTTTTGTGCAGTTGATGAATTTTAGCATGTATAAGGATTTCTGTACTTACCACCACAATGAGGATACAGAATAGTTCCAACACCCCAAAAAACTTCCTCCTGCTGTCCCATTGTTGTCACACTCTTCCCCTACTCCTAGCTCATGGCACCCACTGCCCTGTTCTCAATCACTATAGTTTTATTTTTTCCAGAAGACCTTATGAATGAAATCACCTGTAACCTTGGACCCATTGATTTTTGCTGGAGTCAAAGCAGCCCCCTTTGACAGGAAATCTACTCATAATTGTGCACTACTTACAGAGTTGGTGAACCATGAAAACAGTCAGTTAGAATGCTTAGGAATAGGATGTTCTGGGTAATGATTTTTTAGGTTAACTAGAAGTTAAGCTAAACCCTCGTATTAATATTTTGGCCACCTTGCAATCTTTCTAAAATGTGAGTCTCCATTTCTTTCTTAAAGCCTTTCTTAGAGCCTAATGAACACAAATAGTTATTTTTTTAAATTAAGGAGCACGATAAACACCAGAGTCCTAACAAATAGTGTTTTCTTTTATTTGTATATAAAAGTACTGA